GGAGGTAGGTTGGTGAGGGTGGTAGGTAGGTTGGAGAGGGAGGTAGGTAGGTAGGTGAGGGTGGTAGGTAGGTTGGTGAGGGTGGTAGGTAGGTTGGGGAGGGAGGGAGGTAGGTTGGTGAGGGAGGTAGTTAGGTAAGGGTGGTAGGTAGGTAGGTGAGGGTGGTAGGTGGGTTGGTAATGGTGGTAGGTAAGTTGGTGAGGGTGGTAGGTAGGTTGGGGAGGGAGGGAGGTGAGATACAACTTGGTGTCGTCTCCAAGGTCGACAGCTACGAAGGTCCACCAAAAACTCTGATCCCCCTCGTAAAAAAAAAAAGGAATTTCCTCTCGGGGTAATTACTTGAGGCGTGTACAGTAATTTCACTTCTTTACGATATTACCTTTATGTGCAGGAGAAACGTGTTATATTTTCAAACAATATACGTAATTATTTTGATAGTAATAACTCACTTTAATGGTTTACCAATATCGCTGCAAAGCGGTTATGTAATACTGAATTAATATTTACGGTGTACACTTATTTAACTTATATAAATGATTCAGTTTAGTGGTTTATCATTAACGTTCAAGGTCATATAACATTGAAATAATATTTATTTACATTATCTTATTATTTACAAATGATATACCCACGTGTTCACGGTTATATAACACTGAATTAATATTTACGTAAGCTACATACTAATTTAGATGTTATTTTACTTCAATATTGACCAAGTGAAGCTGTTCAGGGTCACATGATACTCGTGTTTGTGTCGGAAATTTTAATAGTCGCCGCAGTTAAGTTTAATGAGTGTCTAATATGAATTTAATACTGTATATACTTACTCTAAAGATTTATAATAATATTTTATATTTTATCAACAACGGTTATATAACACTGATTTAACATCTCGGTCGTGAACCAGCCATCAAATATAAGTACATTCACTATTTTGTTGTCCAGTTCCCATACAGCCAATCAAATCTAATGGCCTTACTCATTTGGTTGGTTCTTTTAAACTGCATAATATCACGTCTATTCAAGTCGGTGAGTGATGACCTAATGAACATATGCGCTGGTTCACGGTGGAGTACAGTAGCCTCTTCACATTGTCCCAGTGCAGTTTGGACGTCATTCTCAGGCAAGCATAATAAACGGAATGCATATTTGAGAATAGTCTTACAATATCGTGCGCTGAATATTTATCATAACCAAATTTACTCATAAAAGCACCGAAGTCTGTAACTAACAAAAAAACTCGTACCACTTAACACCACACAAAATTAAGGTAGAAAATCGTTTGGTAAATAATATCCTCAACCTTAATTTGACCTTCCTGTGTAATGTGAATGCCAATAAGATCGGTACATTCTCACATACCAAAAATAAGATCAATATAAATTACTCAGGATTATAGACTCGTACAGAATGTTGATGTGACGAGGTTGAGGAAATGTTAAATAGAGACGCCGACTTATTATTAATGTGTGTGTGAAGGACCGGACTGTAGTGGTCTTTATTCTGATGTTCACGCACCAACAATTTTTCAAACTATTATACCTGTAATTTCTTATTTATAAATCTTTACGTCCACTTATATTTCTGAATAACTGCCTAATACTGATAATTACACTAGCCTACCTGTTATTGCATATTTATATCAATACATATATTTATATTTCTTCATAACTCTAACACTGATAATTACTACACCTGTAATTTTTATCTGCGTGTGACCTTGTAATTATAGTTCTGAAAACTCTGATACCGCCACCACAAAGGAATGTCTCTACCTGTAGTTTTATACTTAATATTTCTTATCACTTCCCGCTAAACTATTATTACTGGAGAGCTGTGTGTCATTTTCTAACCTCGCACAGGTAATGGGACCACCTGCAGATTAGACACCCTAGTTTATTTCACCCGAAGATTAGATACTCCAGCTTATTTCACCTGAAGATTAGATACTCCAGCTTATTTCACCTGAAGATTAGATACTCCAGCTTATTTCACCTGAAGATTAGATACTCCAGCTTATTTCACCTGAAGATTAGATACTCCAGCTTATTTCACCTAAGATTAGATACTCCAGCTTATTTCACCTGAAGATTAGATACTCCAGCTTATTTCACCTGAAGATTAGATACTCCAGCTTATTTCAGATGTTTAGTTTAGGTTAGGATAGTGTGGTTAATCTTCAGGTGAAATAAGCTGAGATATTAAATCTTTAAGTAAAATAAGCTGATATAAAATATTTAGGTAAAATGAGATATCTAATATGTAGGTGAATTAAGCTGGGGTGTCTAATCTTCAGGTGATGTATATAATACAGTACAGTACCTATAATCTTGTGAATAAAACGTTTACCATGGATGTACCGAGGATAATGGGAGGGGGGGAGGTGCTTAACGTCAGCTGTAAGTCTTGGTAAACTGTTTTTAACCGTGATGGAATATAACTATTAAGGCCGTCGGTAATCTACTTCGTAAATATTTTGTATAATATCGTTAAACAATTATTTAAATTTTTTGGATCACGTGAAGATAAGCCCCGCCCAGCTAATTTCACCCTCACCCTAACAACTTAGTTAACGTTAGGGTGTTTTATCATCTGGTGAAGTAAACTGTGGGGGGGTGGTGGGGCTAATCCTCAGGTGGTCTAATTCTTGCATCACAGTAAAACATTACCTCATGTAGTGGAGTTGGACACAATTTAACTAATTAAGAATGTACTGTACAAAGACTATGTTATGTTATCAGTTATTACGTCAGTCACTCTCTGGGGCGCATCATTCAGTCAAGATAGTGTACGAGCGGATTCTCAAGGTATCTCTTAAATTGGTCAGGTGAGAAAACGTCTAATTAGCTCGTTTAATTATATTTCCTGACAATGATAGCGGCCCCAAAACTATGTCGCCACTGCTATGTGATTTTATTTTTCACCCTGAAACTTAAAATAACGTAAAACTCTTTTGAAAATCCAGATCTTGACTCCATTAAGATGGCTGCAGGGCTGACTAATAAACCCTCTCGTATCTCCTCCTAATTAAACAAAGAGTTCCAATACTATTCTGGCGCCTCAATATCTCCTGGGTTAAGCCACCGCCCACAGGAACACATAAATAAGGGGTCAGAAACTACACCACAATACAGCTCCTCGCGAAGGTGGAATATTGCGTAAGTTTTTTATCATTATTATTTCCTCTGTTGGGGAAAGTAAATAGGGAAAAGTTTATATTCTGTTCCTTCTTTTTTTATTGTTATATAAAATGAAAGTGAGGAGAGTAAGTCGTGAATTTAAAAATGATTAGAAACTGTAAATGGGACTCTCTCTCTCTCTCTCTCTCTCTCTCTCTCTCTCTCTCTTTAAGTAATATGAAACGAAACTGATTTGGAGGGAAGCCGAGCACCTCACTCGATATACTGAGTTATGCCTCGACGTAATGGACACACGCGACCGGATATGTAGCCATACTGCACTCAGGCAGAGGAGTAACGTGCCGTAGACTCTCGCTCTGTGCACCGTAGCCGTATATCTCTCAGGGAGATATAATGACTGAGTTTTTCAACAGCGACAACATGGCGGCGGTTTTTATTACCGGTGTATTCTGAATGACTTTGGCCAGATATATTTTGACAGATTGTCCTCTTACAAACCGGATATAAATGGATACTGCCGGCTAGAATAATATAAAACTTCCCAATGACGGCTCTTATTAGTACGGAAGTTTGTGACTCTATTAAATTATAATACCAAACTGTCATCATATATATGTTAGAATATTTACAAATCTCCCCAAACACATTTTTCTTCAACAGTCGTTAGGTTAATATAAACGAAAAGGTAAATCGCAGTTAAAAAGTTTCTTAATTAAATCTTGTATGAAAATTCTAATGACTGTATTTTAATAAATTCTTACTGATGGAGGTAGTGTATGTTTTGTACACATAAAAATAATGAACTAGTATACAAAAAATTCTTGTTAAAAAATTGGTGATAGATAAAATTCCACGAGGGAGCCATAACAGGAATAATAAAAGCGACTACTACTTACCCGGCAGCAACAACCGTACAAAGGCACCATCTGTTGAGTGCACCGAGGCAAAAACAAGTCGACAAATTCCCAGTTTCACCAAGTTTATCACGGATTAAAAAATATAGCGACACCAAGTAAAACTGTTCAACTCTTGTGATTTACGTATTGTATTATAAATAAATAGGGACTGTAAGTTTGACTGATTACCAGACACCGTGTCTGGGGGTAAAGATGCAGGATAATAATGACCGGGTAAATAAACCGAGAAAAAGACAAAACCCGTAAAACAACACGAAATCTACCACAACAACACACACATGATGACAACACGAAGAGTGTAAGGACAAACTGTATGATGATGAGGAGTGTCTATCACTTATTTCAACATCAACAACAACAGTAGCTAACTGAAATGTAATGCAAGTGTCAAATATATTGACCGAAGTGTCTCCTTACTGTAAGACTGAAGACTATCAAAGGACAGAACCAGTGGTGACAGTTGTAAGGTATTCACGACACAGCGTCCCCCACCAAAACATCACTCAATATGCAACATGAACGTGTGGAGAAGCTTACCTGAACAGATAGTCTGGCCTGCACATGATAGATGATCAAACACCGAGCACGTGTCGTGTTCGACAAGGGCCCGATATCATGCTGCAGTGTTGTAATTATTACTACACTTCAACGACTAAGGTCGGATGCATATATGAGCAATAGGTGGTTAGGTGTAAATGGGACTGCCCATTATGGGCCAATAGGCCCGCTGCAGTTTCCTCCATTCTTATGTTCTTATGTTCTTTTTAGTGCGTATAATAATACACCCCTAAACAACAATTAAAAATAAAAAATATATTTCCCTCCCTCAACCCAGAGCCCCTCACCTGCCTCCTGTAGCACCGAGACAGGTCACAAAATCCGATGATGATCTGAATACAAAGGCAACTGGTAAATAACTGAGTAAGTAAGGTTATCGGCTTACCTTGTGGACGAACTCCTCGACGAAGTAGACGAGGAAGAAGCCGGCACAGGTGACGAGCTCGGCCAGGGGGTAGTCGGCTCCTACAGTGAGCACCTCCTGGGAGAAGGCCGCCTGGAAGTTCTCCCGCGTCTCCGGCAGCATATGGGTGAACACAGTGGCCAGGAGGACCCCGCCACCGAAGCACAGAAGGCAGCTCACGATCCTATCTCTCTTTCTGCTGCCGTGAGCCAAGAACTTTCTCATCCGCAGCGGCAGGAGGCCGAAGAACAGCGAGAGAACCCCCATCAACGTGAGGGCGATGATTTTAGTAGTGAGCAACTCCATGGTGGTGGTGGTGTGGAGTCAGTGGATGGCGGGAGTGGCTGGGAGGCGGTCTGGGTGGGGTGTGGGTGAGGGGCCAGCAACGAACACCGATCAGATCAAGCAGTTCTGGGTAGGATGACGTTATACCAGACCATACACAAAATGGGTGGCCTGGGAGTGACGACAGGACGATGGGGGTGTAGTGGCTGGGTGGTGGACGATGACGACTGTGGTAGGCTAGGTGTTTCACGACCCCCGCACGACCGTAACTCCCTCACTGGTCACCTTACCACCACAAGCTTGTCTTTCTCTCATGAAGCACTGTAAATTAACACCAATGAACATGATAATATATCAACACAAACATAAACATCGTTTCTCTATCTCATTAAACATTAACATTCTCGTATTTCCGTCTCATAAATCACTGTAAATTAACATAAATGCACATAAACTTCGACTGTTTCTCATGGTGCAATGTTAAACACGACCAATCAACATTAACATCGAAGTATCATGTGGTTTACAGTAAATTAACGCGACAGTATTTAACATGAACATCATCGTCTCGTTCAACACTAATGACTTAACACCAACGCATCTCATAAAGATTGTAAATTAACAGAAATTAACAGCAACTTCATAAACACTACAAATTCATCATAATTGTTCAATAATAACGAAGCTTCCAATTATTATAATAATTTTCTGCTGTGGTTATAATAATTATGAAACCATTATTTTCCCTCTAGTAGTGGGGAGAAAAACTGCCTAATAATGGTCATTTATTTTAACGCTTCAATATATGAGAACTATATCGCTATATAATACTGTATAATATTTATCTCTACATTGTTTCCGATGATGTCATATCACTTATATATATATATATATATATATATATATATATATATATATATATATATATATATATATATATATATATATATATATATATATATATATATATATATAATCTCAGTTTCTTGGTTTCTAGAGGTTACACGATAAATTATTTATATATAATGTAATATATTTACAGTCAAGTAGCTTCCTGGTTTTATATAATAACTGCCATTACTTAAAGACATATACTGATTTGTATCTCGCCAGGTTTAAATTACTTAAGATTTTTGCTTAGCGAAATATATTGCTATTCCTTGTGTTTATAATAAAATAAAAATTTCTTCCACTTATGAAATACATTAACATCACTTTCAGTATGATAAAATATACGCGTGCTTGTGTCTATAAGAACATACACAACAATTACATTTCTATACAAGTTAATATACCGGTATATGCTGTACATTGTCGCATCACCAATATATATTGCTCTCAAACTATTGATATTATTTAGGTTAATGCAACAAATAAATTAATGTTAAAAATGTAGTCACATCTTTAACCCGTTAAAGAAAATGGTTTAAAACTCTTAAAATGTCAATAAAGTTATAATAATTCAAAGAGTCGTCATTACTTGGATTAAAACTATAATTCATTGAAAACAATAACATAAAATCAGAGACCAAAAGAGTCTCTTTACAATACCGGTGCTTCAGTTTCTCTTAACGAAGAGTTCGGGATTAAAGTCCGATTAACAAACACCGAGCGTAAGGGAGCGTATTATTTGCACTCACGGAAAGCACTGTGATTGCATTTCGCCCGACCAACCACACTTATAGCCCAAACTTAACATTGTTGCTAAGTGTCACCAGAGTAAAATAGTTGCCAGTGACTGAATTAGTGGAGACCGTATATTTACCCCTTGGTGACGTGGGATCTTGCTGTGTTGAATAAAATCTCCCGGCTTTAGGTAAATAAAATATTGAAAGTGGCCACGTCCAATAATAATATGGCTAATGAAAGTTGTCACACGCTCAACTTGTAGAAGATAACCGTAATTTTCTCCTTGACACAGCAGTATCTACCCTGAAGGTCTTCCCTGCGTGCAGTATATCTGACCTTACGTCCCGGGCAAGCGACACCTTTAACAGAATAGGAAACACAACGAAAAATACTGTAGAAAATTTTGAACCACTGCGGCATTGTTGTCACGAAGGCGAGTCGGTAATCTAAGGTGGATTATGATAATATTCTCATGAATATATTTTACAACACATAATATTCCGGAATGTATAATAATAATAAGGGTGGTACGTACACGCTCACAGGGGCGCTAGAGGCCCACTAATTACAGGGCCTGGCAATATGTTACTGTCAAATCAATATCATATACGCTTGAAACCTCTGAGAAGTAATTATGTTGACTGTATACGCGTAATTCTCTCTCTCTCTCGCTTAATATTTCACAATTACATTCTCTCTCTTTGTTCTTATTTGCTCTCTCTTACACTTAATATTTATCATCAATCATTTCTCTGTCTCTCTCTCATACATACATAAATGCATACATACTAAGCATTAATGGCCATCCACAAACGACGCAGTACATTCGCCATCACAGACATACACACGAACCTAAATTTCAGCCGAGCGACACCTAACCACAAAACATAACCTTGAAATAAGACACATGGCATGTTACCCTGATATATGCACCTAAAATTACATCACTCCCATTTGCTTTGTTCTACTTGAAGACGTGTAAGGTTAAAAAGAAGTCCATTGCGCATCATTACATACAATGAATGAAGGTTGGCGTTACTTGTGGCTATAATCAGGATACTATGGTGTAAAATTTAGACTAATACACATTTAGACTTAAAGGATATGGTACATATGCCTTATAATTATTGGTAACAACAAAATGGCCTTGAAGGTTGATATTGGACAAAATCCCTCTGAATGTAACCTAATGTGACAATAGAGATATGAGTCTATGTTAATTTCTTTGAATCTTGATAGGTGGGATTTTTCTTCGGATGGAAAATTGTTTGAAGGGATCTTAATCTTGACGACACACCTACAAACACCATCTAAAACACACCTAAATTATCGTACAGCTTCAGCAAGAGACACTCAACGCCTTCGTACGCTTCGTCACAACCTCCACTTAAAACTGCACAGATCAGAAAGGTCTAAGCAACAGTTATAAACACCGACCCGTTCTTTCCCACCTCATACATGATATTGTGCCTAGGCTCGTCACCCTTGGCATAAAAACAGGTTATATAGTGTAGAAGAAAAACCCAGAAGAGACTTAAACATTTTGAACAGAAACCTAGAAGTGTTTGGCGACATCGAGGATACAGTATTCAAGCCAGACATAACATAGCAAAATCTAATTAAATGTTGTAATACCAAATTATATACAAGCGGCCGTGGGGATACAAGCACAGTTAAGTAGACCAGAGGTTAAAAAAGATACAAATGTTAACTGCTGGGATACTCGGACCAGATTACAAACACTGTCAAAGTGGACTCCAATATACTAAGGTAAAATCGATTCATACATTAAGGTTCAAATTAGTACGTTTCTTAATGCTGTAAATGTTAACCTTGGTAGAATTGTAAACATTAGGCTATATGAACACCGCTATAATTATCATACACGAACAAAAAACGAGATTATTATTGACACACAGCACAAAAAAAATTACAAACAAAATCACAAAAAAATAAATCGGTAAGATAAACACAACTAATTAAGTTAAAAACCACGGACAAAATTACCGCACGCTGAGACAACAACAGGTCTTCCAAGCTCGGCAAGCGAAACAACAATCAGTCCTAAGTTGGGCAATCAACATACGAGGTTGGCAAACTTGACGAATAAACACGGTGAAGTTAACTGATAAAAAAACACCGCCTCGCCTCGCTAGCCGAGAAACTCGCCAGACACACACACACACACACACACAACCACTCACAGTATTTCCTGACAGTAATTTCTAGTTAAAGGTCAAGTACGTTGGATTTCTGCGCAGTAAAAAATTAAGATTATTTTTGGCTTAATTGATGGCTGTTTGTTTTCCGTAAGCGAGACTCGGTACAGCTAATGACCAATTTTTTTATCAAACTACTACGATATCTCTCTCTCTCAGGTATATAAACAAATCTCTCTCTCACACACAATGACCCCAGAATAATTGTATACTTGTATTCAGGAAGTGTATTGTGAGAGCGGATAAAACAATCCTTGATGTAACACTTGCTTTCACCTCCCTCCCTAGTGAGTGTTGGCCTCACCACCTTCACGCGGGGAATACATTATGATGCTTATTAACGACGAGGGAAAGTCCGGACGGTGGTAGTGTAGGTCTAGCTGTTGTTGTGGAGGTTTTGTGCTCCCTCTCTCTCTCTGAACCGTTACATCTCTCTCTATATTAACCAGGACTACTTCACCGACTGAGTGACTCACTGAAAGACTTATGAAAGATGTCAAGACCTAGTACGTCCCGGGGTATACACACACACCTAACCTAGCATGTCCCCAGGGTATACACACACCTAACCTAGCATGTCCCCGGGGTATACACACACCTAACCTAGCATGTCCCCGGGGTATACACACACCTAACCTAGCATATCCCCGGGGTATACACACACCTAACCTAGCATATCCCCAGGTATACACACACCTATCCCCACCTAGCATATCCCCGTATACACACACACCCAACCTAGCATATCCCCAGGGGTATACACACACACTAACACACACCAACCTAGCATATCCCCGGGGTATACACACACACCTAACCTAGCATATCCCCAGGGTATACACACACCTAACCTAGCATATCCCCGGGGTATACACACACACCTAACCTAGCATATCCCCAGGGTATACACACACCTAACCTAGTATGTTCCCGAGGTATACACACACACCTAACCTAATACAGTATACCCGGTTATACAGTTCTGAAAGTATAATCTGCTCTAGTATACCTCTTCTGACAGACCTACAGCGAACAATTAAACGCCTCGCAATACGATTTTTGGGTAAACAAAGCTAAAGTCATCTGAGTCTCATTTAACTTTAGTGTATGATGTTGACGGAGCCTAGTGACTGGTGTTGACGTAGCCTAGTGACTGGTGTTGACGTAGCCTAGTGTCTGGTGATGACGTGGCTGGTGATGACGTGGCTTAGTGACTGGTGTTGACGTAGCCTAGATACTGGTGATGACGTAGCCTAGATACTGGTGATGACGTGGCTTAGTGACTGGTGTTGACGTAGCCTAGATACTGGTGATGACGTAGCTTAGTGACTGGTGTTGACGTAGCCTAGATACTGGTGATGACGTAGCTTAGTGACTGGTGTTGACGTGGCTTAGTGACTGGCGTTGACGTAGCCTAGATACTGGTGATGACGTAGCTTAGTGACTGGTGTTGACGTAGCCCAGTGACCAGTGCTGACGTAGCCCAGTGACTCTGCGCGTTGACGTAGCCAAGGACTGGTGTTGACGTAGCCCAGTAATCCGGTGATGACGGCTTAGCGTCTGGTGTTGACGTAGCCTAGTGACTGGTGCTGACGTAGCCCAGCAACTGGTGATGACGTGGTTTAGTGTCTGGT